ATGGTCTTCGAGACGGTCTTCGAGACATGTACGCAAAAATTCATTGAAGACATTTGGCTAATTTGTATGAAAGTGTCTTCGAAGACCGTCATACATTTGGATCGATCGGTCTTCATGTATGTATCCATGTCTTGAAGACGTCTTCGATGACGGATCGATCCGTTTTCTACTGGGTAGCGTAGCTGTAGCAGTTCCAGTATAAAGTTTAGTTATTGGTGCCGCAACATATTTTGCAAGTATTCAAATTTATTTTGCCATTAAAAAATATAGATTAAATTTATACAAATGTAGAGTTCCTTATATCTAGGAACACAATTCATCATCTTCAAACCTGGTAGGAATAGTGTCATGCCAGTAGTGACATTGGTCTTACAGTTTTTTCATTGTGGACCTCTACGAGTTGGTGATGGCTACTGCATCCGAAAGAGCTATTTGCTGTACGAGTTTTAACACGACGTCCATAAAATTCAGTGAATGAACATTCACGGACTTTAATGGTTTGATCATGTCGTGAGAATAGATCAAATGTTGCAGTAAAAAGGGTTGTTGTAGTCGTCATTGGAGGAAGAAGGCATGGCGGTTGACTATATTTTCGGTGGAGTGATCGAGTTGAGGAAGAAATAACCACATTAACCGAACTTGATCTGAGAGACTGAAGAAGTTGGGCACACATCAGAAGTGCCTAGAGAGACAAACTCATCAATCAATGTTTCATATCTATTTGTAGGCGATATTAATTTTAGGTTGTTGAATTTGTGTAGTATGGGTAGTACATGAAAGATATTGTCATTTCAGTAAACTTAAAGGCTATATATCTGCTTATAAGCTAAGTAAATTCACATACATATATATAACTTATTAATTGTTGTTTAAGTAAATCATAAATTTTTTTAATATTATTATATATATTTTTTTGCAATATTTTATTAATATTACTTTGAATAGAGATAATATTTAAAAATTCCTTCCGCCTTAATGCCTTTAGAAGTTAATATTTTTGAGCTATTATGTTTGAGATGGTAATTTATGCTAGTATATATATGTATATATATGTATAACATAAGTGCCTTTATAATTATATTTGTATGTATGACATATGCAGATACGAAAGCAATTCTTCATTACGTAGTCATGCAGGCACTTACGTAATTTGAGAACCTTTTGGCATGCATGCAGAACATCACAAAATTCAAAAGCCTAAACGGACGAGCCGACTTTGGGGCTTCCTTCATTAAGGTAGGTTCTTTTAACTTACAAAAGAAAAAATTTTAATATACTTACATATATGTGTATATATATATGTATATAAATAAACTATAGAATGGCAAAAAAATGCTTAAGAAGCGTAGATTGCAAGGGACAGCAGCGACGGTTTTTTACATGTTTTAGTTTTTTTACTTACATTTCAGTAAAACAATTTTTTTTTGGCTCTTATGTGCTTCTGTGCTTTGTACTGTAATTTTTTTTTGGCTGTAGAATAGAGACCGAAACTTGATGAATTGGGAATTAATTCCTTTGACATCGTTTTAATGCTAAAGTAAGCGCACACATACGAGAAAGCACGCTGCAAAAATTTCTTGCCAAATGACAAATGACGACACAAAAGCCCTAACATGCAAATTACGTTGCTTATCTGTTAAGTTTCTGTTTTATATAAACTCTTTTGTTTTTAATTTCTTTTTCTCGCCTTTTTTGTTTTTGCTTTTTGTTTGTTTGTTGCTTTTTTTGTTTGGATTATATATTTTTGTTGTTATTATGTTTTTAGTTAATTTTGCTTTTATATTATTTTTTATTTTTTGGCATTTGATATCTCTCATGTTTGAGTGCCTGAATCGTCGTCGCTTTGTTGTTTCCTTTGTGTATCTCCTACATTTGTTACTACCTTTTTTTGTACGTTTTTATGCATATTTACCTACTTTTTTTCTTCTCTTTTTTTGGCACCCTCTGCATGTGTCAAATGCTGGTCGTTGCACCTTCTGCTACTTCAAATTATTTGTATGCTTTGCTTTGTTTTTGCAAATCATTAAAGCATATTCTTGTGAGAGTATGTGTTTATGTGTGCGTGCATTTACTGCTTTACACATACATATATATACACATTTGAAAGTGTAATTTGAGGGTTCTCTTCACTGTAGCAGGTGCTGTACGCTTGTCTCACAAAGAAGAATTGCCTGTGGTTAATAAAGTTTTTGTGGGATAGGTCAATAATTCGTATGTTCCTATGTAAAGAAATTTGGTATTTCGTGCAATTCTGACGCAGAGTCGTCGTTTCTTAGTTAGCTTATTTGACTTATTTTCGTTTACTTTGCAAAATTGAAAAACAAAAATATGAAAAAAAAAAAAAATAAACCTGACAGTGAAATCCTAAGTAGCTTTCAATGACTTTGAAGCCTTATTATGAAAATCGGTCATCAACTTTATGTCAACTTTCGTTCGGTCATCAAAAATATCTGCTGCAGTAATTAACGTTCTCGTTGACATTCATAGACTCAGATATTTTTCGCCGGTAATATCTGTTGGTTAAATTTCAAATTTTTTACGAAAACTTCTACAGTCAACTACACCCACTCCCGCTTCCACTCCAACTCCAACTCCCACTCCCACTCATACTCAATCCTTATCTTTTGGTGCGCTCTAGTAAAGTTCAGTGGAATTCAGTTCAGTCTATTAGGAGTTTGTCAATTTCAAGCTGTCGAGCTTGAAATTTTGTTTCGAGCATTATTTTACTGCTGCAAAACGGAAAAGTATATAATTACAAAACGAAAGCAAAGAAATGCGAATTTGAAAAGGAATTCAATAGAAAGAAACAACATATTCAGTCGTTTATAGAGAATTTATGCCTAATAGCAATGTTGGTTTTGTCTAAACCCCTAACCACTTGTTTTTCTAATGAAGGACTTTAAGTGACGTTTCACATTTCTTTTTATGTCTATGTGTATGTTCTCCTTTTTTGATTTTATGTACTCCTAGATTCTTTAGGGTTTCCTGTCTAATATCACCATGAGACTGACATGACGAAAAGTTCGGTTTTTTCGTTTCATATCGCACTTTTTTCTTTTTTTTTTTTGTTAACTTGAAATATATTCATGCTTACTGAGGTTTTTGTGAAGTCACTTGAGATTCAAGTGACTTTTTTTTTTTGTGTGACAATGATGTCTGACAACTTGCTTACCAGCTTACCAGCAGTTGAGACGAAATTTGCTTACGTAGATGTTGTTCAGCACTTGTAATGTATCAAAAGTTTGGTTACAACTTTTTAAAGGAATATGCAAAAGCATAAAAAAAAGGTGTCGAAAAAAAAAATTCAAGAATATTGAGAGAAGTATACCCACCTATTTGAATTGGAAAAAAAAATAGACATTTTTATACCTTACATCGTCAGGTCTGGTGGCAGGTCAGCAGATAAATTTTCGCTGACCACAATTAGCGATTTGTCGTCATTATACTATCACAATTTTCCTTAAAACCCTTAGCATATAAAATACAAATTGTGTGGATTTAATATACTTCTAGTCAAGAAGTATGATTTCTGTAGTCAAGAAAGTATTTCTCTAAAAAAATTCTTCTGGATGCCCGAGCAGAGAAGTTAGAAACCTATTTCCCTAAGAATGCATCTAGGAAAAAACCAGTCGGACAAAACCGTCTGCTCTTTCATTCCCTTCAATGTTCTTATGTTCAGGACCACAGATGATAGTAATATCATATAACCGATTAAGCTAAACAATTGCATCTTCACATTAGTTAATTAGCATTGATTTGATGATGAAGGATTGAAGGGATTAAATATCGGTTGGTTGTCAATAAACTATAGCTGGTTCGCCTCTCTAATCATTAAAGCTTTAGCTGAAATAACCGTGACCTGATAAGGTGGCCTAACGGAGTAGTTTATGTCTGCAGATAGCGCTAAAATTTCCTCTGCTATCCGGCAGTCCATTTTTGAAAACTGTAAAAGCTGATATATCATATATCATATATCATGATATATCATAGAAGTTTGCTTCTTCTTTTCCATCAGTTTCTAGCCAGAAATAATATCTGGAAATTTTATTAAAGCGATGTCATCCTATAGAGACAGTCTAGAATTGTTTCTACAATAAAGCTATATCCAATACGTTTTACACAGATGTTTGTCGTTTTCATTCGGACGGCGTTGTTGTAGCAATACTTACAAAATGAAAATCAATGGGTAGCAAGTGCAGCTTGCTATGCTTAGGCATGCAAAGAAGTCTTTCTAAGTGTTTCTTTATCGCCAACGCAAGCTGTTCTCTGAATTCTGCTTAGTTTTTGAATATTATAGCTTTTATTCAGTGCTGGACACCAAACTACAGCACCATAAGTGAGTATTGGACGCAAAATGGTTGTGTATATCCTATGCGTATTATTAGGATGAATGCTCTAATTCTTGCCGAAAATTCTTTTTCAAGAATACAAAGTTACGTAAACCCTTCTAAAGTCGACACTAGATTTATCTGAAAAGCCTTTACTTACAGGTTAGAACTATTTACGTGATATAAGAGGTAATATCAAAAAAAATCTTGGTTATGTATGGGTTAGTTAAAAAACTTTTCGCATAATAATACCCGTTATATGCTATTATTGTACATAATATATAGAAGTCTTGTATTAATTTTAACGAAATAATGGGTTTCGATAGCAGATGGGTTACCCTGCTAGATTAAATTATATGGTAAGCAATAAATCAAGAAGAAATTATGCTAAAAGTGTTCTTTTCGCACCATATAAGTTAATAATAGTATACATACTTTTTTGTTTTTTTTTTGTTTTGCTCATTAAAACATAATTTAACTCGATTAAGCTGTATTTATTAATCACTGTCCGTGAACCAAAAAAAAGTTAATGAACGTTGGCAATAGAAATAATTAAAAAAGTTTGAGAAAATTAAATGCAAAACCTTTAAAGGTTAAGAAAAGAAAAATTATTCCAAATGAAGTCATGCATTGTTCCTAAGAGCCAATACATATAAATTTATTAACCTTTTCTCAAAAAATATATATTAACGTCTTTAATTTTTGTTTATTTTTTGCCAAATTTTGGTAACAAAATTTTTAGTTAAGGACTTGAAATATTATGCTCATGTTCAGGCACAACTTCTGTGTCTCGATTATAATTATAACTATATCCTATATACACAGATGTCGGTTCGAAACTTAAATTATTTTCTTCTCGGTGTATTTTACGCATTTTAAAAAAAATCATACCAGTTAGAAGGGAATCTGAGCCAGCTTGATGTTTTCGTCCGACGCGTTCTAAACACAATTTATCTGCTATATGTTGTAGACCTCCTTTCAGGTTTTTATTAAATTTCAATAAATGTTTTATATCGTATATATTTGGAAAATATGTTTTCAGTAACTCAAAAAATTCCTTCTCATCTTCTGGTAGATCCTGATTTGTTAAAAGTCTTAACAGATAACCGAAGTCATAACCAGAATGAAAACTTAAAAAATTTACTTCCTCCATTAACACAACACCTGAAACCATGAGAAGTTCTGCAAATGCAGTGGGATCTATACCTTCTTTTCTATGTCTTTGGAATTGTATACCTGATCTTCTTAATAAGTCTATCGAATCTCTTGCATAGGTGTCGTGTTCCAAATTAAATTGAAAATTGAACTGCCAAGTCGAATATTTCGTTGGACTATTCCCAGAATCGTTCATAAATGTCAACCCTAACTGTATAATTTGCAGAAGATTAACATTACAACGCAAACTTTGGTAATGAAAGTTTGAATTGTTATTTGTAAAGTTGCCTATCGGTGATGCAACAACTCCAGGAAATTCAGTATCGACAGCGATGTAATTGTAATCCTGTACGATTTGACGTATCTCCTTGAACTCGTCTTCCAGGTTAGACCGCCACACTTCACGTATGCCAAACTGTTCGTTGCTGTAATCAGCAATTTCGTCACTTTCCAAATCCTCCGAGTTTTCCAACATAACATAAGTTTTTATTTGTGAATTATTCATGGTTATATCTTTAAGTATAAAGTAAGGTCTCCTTAGGAATATAACCATTACAAAAACCTTTTGCGATTTAAATTTTTTTGTTGGAAGAAAAAAATTTTGTTTATATATGACAATTTGGAATATTATTTTTTGAACAAAAATTATTTTATTGATACTAATATTTTTACTTGTTTATATATTATGACTGTTTTTTCAATGTTTCACAATCAAATGATAACTTAAAGAAAACAATGCTAGCATCATATATATGGTATTATTGGAAATTATCGGATAGACTTAAAAGTTAGGATCATATATACTAATGGTTAAGTTTGAAATTGTGTTTTTGAACGTTTTAATATATGAAATAAAAAATTAAAGAAAATATTAACTTTTTAAGAAGTTATCAACAAGGCAATAATAAACAAATATAATACGAAAATAATAGAAAATACTTAGGTCTAACTTTTGACAGAAGATAAACTTCGCTAAAGAATATTGGGGTCAAAAACTGACTTGTAATATAATAATAAATACTCTCAAACCAATACAATATAATACAAGGAAGGTATGATAAAATGAACTTTAAAATATCGGGACTTTAAATCATATGAATCGGAACTTTAAACAAGAAAAGTTATTTTCAATATACCATATATAAGATTAATTCTATGGTTGTAAGATTAGTTGTTTAAACATCCCCTAATAAAAATGTCAACAGTAGTAGTCACCTACTTCAGTCTCGTACATTACGCGGGGTAGTGTTTCCTCGACTTGATTATTTCGTTAGAGATAAATCCGTTTTTCAGAAAAAAATTACATTTTAGATTTGTTTCACCGTTCATAGATTACGATTCAATCCTAATATAAAATGTCAATGTTTTCATAAAAATATTTTTGGTTTTAACTTGATTTGCTAAGTCGAAGAATAAGTCGTAATGATACCTGATATTTAAGACAAAACTCTCGTGTAAATACAGTATTACTCAAGAGAATGAGGCAAGAGAGAAGCGAGAGTAAGTAGAACGAGAGAGTAGGAAGGAAGGAGAGAAAGAGGGTCTAGAATAATATGAGAGAAGATTGAGGATGTTAATAGAATCGCTACTTTATAATTATTTTTTATCAGTGTAAATGTACAATTCCAAACTTCAGTTAGTTAGTTAGTTGTGGTGGAGGGAGGACTGAATGCTCGTCAATTACCTAAGGAAGCCGTTTTGAATCCACAAATCCTCGTACTAATGAATAGTAAAGAAACGATCAAGCAAGAACCAGTCAGAGATATTTATAAAGCCAAGAAGAAGCCTGGACACAGACACAGCAGGTGTTCTGGTGTCCTTTTTTCGATAGCTGGTAGACACGCAATGCAGGAGTTGTCACAGGGTAAGTCAAGTCTAAATCCATGCCGTCCTATGGTCCAGTGCCCTGTAAAGACAGGTATTAACCTAGATACCTCTGATATGCTCCTGTGATTTAAACTTAAAGTTTACGTAAAAAATAAAAAAATAATTCAGAATTTTAATTTAAGTAGTTAATATATAATAAATAAATATTTAAGTTCTTAACTCAAAATTTTAAAGACAAAAGTGGCGACATCTTCTCATTGTGGTTTTTATAATATTTCATATAGATTATATTTCAACAAGTTTAAAACTCCACCACATTTGTATATTTATTTGATTTCTTATTTTTTAATAAGTAATTATAGTTTTATTTTTTGCATTCAATAACTTCAGTGCGCGTCTTCTTTTTATTTGCATTTTAATTTTGTTCAATGTGCACATATGGGAGGAACCAACTACACATTGTAATTGTTTTTTGTACTTTTTTGTGGATAAATCTTTGGAGTAGAAATTCGAAACTCTCATTACTCAAAAGTTGACAGTTATTATTCGCAATTTGTGTGATTTTTGTGCTGCTTCAAGTGCGCTCATATCACGACACACACACACATACCTATATACACACATACGAGTTCACACAATCCCTTTGTAGTGGAGTTTATACGAGTGTTTGTGTGCGCTCGTCCATTTCGTATGAGTATAAGCATATGCTACTTTTTTCTTTCATTTAAATAATGCGCTTTTCTTTTTATTTTATTTTATTTTTAAACATTTCGCTTCATTGTTTTTATTGTAAAATGTTTTGTTTTGAGGTTTGGGTTTTTTTCTTTTCTTTTTATATTATTTGTTTTTATATATTTTTGCTTTTATGTCGTTTATATACGTAATCAGTAGTACTTGGACGTATTTGTTTATTGCTGAATGTGCCCCGAACCTACGATAACCGAAAATGCAATGGGCCAGGTTCATTGACCTTGCGTGCTGTTGTTGAATTGACTTCCACATGTATGAATACGACACCAACAATAATAACACAACAATATTCGCCGTGCTTACGGGTTAAGCGGTGGTGTAAGTTTTTTGTTTTTTTTTTGTGTGTTTCATTGCTGCTTCTACGCATACATAATGTTTGTGTAATTTTGTTTTTGCGCATTTAAGTGTGTAAAATACTCAAATTTAATGTTTGCATTATGTTGGATTTGCTTCTTTTCTTTATTTTGGTTTTTGCTATTTGGAATTCAAATTTGACTCATGCTACTTACTAAATTCAATAAACAAAGCAATAAAAGAACTTTACGCGCAACGATTGCGCTTCCCCCCATTTCCTGCTTGTACGTGTGCTTAGTTATGACAAAAACAATGTGAAGTTAGCTTTGTACATTGGACGTTTTTTGGTTTCCGCTCTGGTTAGGGTTAAGGGTTAATAAGTGCGTCTTTTGATGTTTTTGTTTTTGTTTTTGCTTTTGTTTTTAGATACAAAATTTAACAACGGAAAAGCTTCAATTGCAGAATTCACTTAATCCCCATTTATGTATCTTAAGTATTGTTGTATCATGCGACTTTATGTTAGAATTTTGAAAAATATTTTAAATGTGTAGGCAACTTTTCTGATGAAGAGATATTTAACATTTAATAAAGATTTAGAAGAAAACAAAAAATATATTAAACTAATTGAAAAAAAGCAAACGTGTATTAAGTTTTTAAAAAGAATTTTGTTTTATTCAGATGTTAACTCTCAGATGATCATTGTCGATGCTATTAACTAGTAATTTTTTTTATTCAAGTTCCAATAGTTACAGAGATACATGAACGTAAACGAAACATTTAATTATAACAACTTCTATATCTCAAAAAGGTTCATTTAAATATCTATTGTCGTCTATTATAGCTATTTAATGTATTTAATGATGTATTTAATCAGTTACAATTGAAAATTAAAAACTCAGCGAGTGAATCCATAATTCGATACCTTTCTACTATAGCTATTTAAATGCATTAGTTGATGTTGAAAATAAAAAACTCAGCGAGTAAATTAATAACTCGATACTCGTCAACCATAGCTAATTAAATAAATCGGTTTGAAATGAAAATAAAAACTCAGCGAGATCATCCATATCTGGATCGCCACATTATCTAAACAATATATTCGAATGGATAACGAGGTTAAGTAAGATTAGAGCGGAGGCACAAATCATACTTTAACTTGAATAATGGTACGTTGGATACCACTTATTGTCTTTGTTCATGTGCAAACCAGAAAGACTCCCAAAAGGACAGCACTAGTCAGCGTACAGACAACGTTCAAAGGTAAGACTCTCACATACAAAAAAAAGTGCACTAAACGGACAAATTTATAAACCCGGTCACGTCTCTCATACGCAGGATGACTACTCTATTAGTTCTGTAAGAACAGTGGCTTCAAAGATTTGAAATCTTTTCATAACCAATGTTAGACACTGACATATGATATGAAGTACAGTTTCTTTCCCATCCACAAAACCACAACCACGAAAAAATTCATTATAGCGTAAATTAAGTGTCATGACATATCTTCCTAGTACGCAAGGACATGTTAACACCGTACTATAGTGCTGAGCAATATATACCTTAGTTGAAATAGCTGATTGGTGCTTTTTTGTCCAGTTTGGACCAGGTCGATCTTGAGATGTTACAATAAGGTTTATCCATAATTTTGTTTAGGTATACTGGGATACTTTTTTTTGCTTATACTGGGATGAATTAAAGCTATCATGGTAAACCCACCTTCCTTGTAGTTGCTCGAGATATCCCGGTGTCCAGGTACCCTTGTGAGTTGGGTACTGACACGCCTATCTAGATCGTTGATAGAGTCCCGGCTTATCAGACCATTAAGAATGTGGCTGTAGCATCTACCAAAGATTTGACAGCAGTTTGGCTATTCGAGAAGATAATGATATTTACATCGAGGATCTTGTTACCTCAGACCCATTTTGTTACGTAAATTGAAGTTGCTATATAACGTATAAGACAAAAATAATTGGTTTATGCTAATTATACATAGAATAGAATACGATATATTACTTTATTCAGTAATAGTATGTAAATCAATCCATGGATTACATTTCGATTTAACCAAAACCAGGGTAGAGAAATGTTAAACGGTTTAAATTGATCTGAACTCAAGGATTTTAAAGCAACTTAAATATTTGATAGTTTATATATTTTCCTTTTAAATATGTTATTTATTTTGATAAAAGTTTTAGGTTCCCTAATAGCGTTAACCATCGTTAAAAATATCCTGCAATGCTCATAGAGTTTATAAAAAATAGATTTAGTTTATCCGATAAAAGTCTAATGCTTACATCACTGACTATTTTTGAGCCGTGAGTAAAAACGGTTAGACCCTCTTTTAGTGAAGAACCTACTAACAGCCAGGTGTCTTTAAATGAAAACCTCGACATGTAAGTTTAGTAGTAGATTAAGAGCTAAGCCAATCAGGACATATTTTAGAGATTAATAGCTTATGACATCTCATTAGTAGCTGTTAAAAATTTATCTATTTATTCAAATATGAATCGAATAGTCCATATGTAAAAGTAAAAATAACATTCGTATTTTACATATTATATGCATATAATATTTTATTGAATTTTGAATATCTAAAAGATGGATGCTTAATAAAAATTTGTAATAAAAACGACGTAGAGAAGCATTAATAAAAAAATTTAATTACAATATGTGCTGCCTGCAGCTGCATAAGATGTAACCTAATGTGTCTGCGCGCAATAATTCAATTTTTTTTGTTGCTCATATG